AACAGAAAATTTTCTTGGATGATCCAGTGGACAAGGAGATTAAGACTTTGAGTTTAACAATAAAAGCTCCAGTATATGTCACCAAATTATTCCTCAGAATCCTAGTCTTCAAGGATATAATACCAATATCAGGGTTATAGGTGATTTAGTCTAAACACTGAAAATTCTTTGTCCGTATCAATATGGCTGATCCACTCTTAATGGATACCTCACTGCAGTTCAATATAAACTTTACATTCCATTAAAAAAAATAGGCTTTGTTTCCATAAAGACCTTTAAGGACATATTGATTTGTGCAAGAGAATTATTGGGCTACACTCCTAAATCCTATTTAACCAGCATTCAGCAGATGTGCATAGGAAGCCATCAATTACTTAGGCCAAGTTCCCTGGGTTTTCTTTCTGCCTCTAATTCGGATGCTCCTGGTTGCCTGAGAACCAGCACACATGACTTGATGCTCTTACTTCTTGCCAGAGAACTTAGCTTAGACTCAAGTTACCTGAGCATATGTGCTTTGCATGGTCTGCAAAGTACCCCTTCCCACATTCCTGGACACACTGGGCTTCCAAGAGGAGAAATGGCCCTTCACAGCGGGTACACTCATGGGGCCCCTGGCACTGGAGACAGTGACTATCACAGCCTGAAAGACAAAAGTCAAGTCAATAGGAAAGTGTATAGCTTTGCAAAAGGATCTGGGCCCCTATTCAAGGCAGCACTAGGTATCAGGCAGCAACACCATCCAGTGTACTCAGTGTACTGGGCAAAGCACCCCATGAGAATTCACGGAGCCACAGTTCTTCTTGTGATCACCATACTTAGCAGTTAGAGGAAAAGTTACTTCACCTCTATGTGCCTCCGTGTTCTCCCCTTTAAAATGGGAGTAAAATATTGTCCCACATACCTTACCAGGTAAAGATCAAATTGATGGAAAATTATAGGTGAACTCTAAAGTGACTGATGGATATTATCAACTATTGTTAGTATTAACTAGTCCTTAGCTTTCAGTACTGTGTTACTTAAGTGTTGGTCTTTTCCTGATTCATCCAGTCAATCATTCAGGAATGCTCTCAGAAATGGTCCCTGTGTAGTTCTGGTAGGAATTTCAGGGTCTGAGGATTTTGTGGTGTTAAATTGAGGCTGAAGAAGGTGCTGGGGCAGAGAGAGTTGATGGTGAGGAATATGGCATACAGAGATTCGGGGGAGGCAGATAGATGGTAGAACAACATGGTCTTTCTGTGTGCTTGAATGCTCAGGTACACAAATCTTCCCATCTGGAGGACAGGATTTCAAATCTTTAAAGAAATCCAAACGTAATGGCCTACCATACAACCCTAAGATTACCATACTGGCATCAAATTTTAGCATATGTCACCTAAGAGCATGGGAGAAGGAAAGGGAAATTTTCATAACAAAGACAATTGTTAGCAAAGAAACCCAGAATGGGGTAAAAAGCCAGAAGGGACTCTTGTCACAGGCTTCTCAGAAATCAGCAACCAAAACTTCAATGATCACAGAGTGGGGGGGTCTCCAGACACTCACTCTTGCAGAGGCCCATGTCCCGGTAGAAAGATGGCGAGCACTGCTCCACGCAGGCACCCTCCTGGAGAACGTAGCCATCCATGCACTGCAGGCAGTCAGTTCTCAGAGGACCACTGCATGCATTGCAACTCCAATCACACTCTGGAAAGAAATCCTATGTTAGATTAGCTTCCCCTCTGTCCACCCCCGAGTCCCACAGACTAATTTATGAGGAGGCTGTCTGTAGCTGCAAGAGGTAAAGTGGGGACAATATGAGATGTCAGATAAGGCAGTTGTAACAAGGCCTGTGCTTGCAGTAGCCCTGATGCTTCTCTGAGGTTTTGTGTTTCTCAATTATGTTAGACATAAGCATGTACAAAGAGCATGCCACACTTTGTGCAGAGCCTGCTTATCAGCTGGGCTGCCAGAGAGCCAGGTCTACCTGGATTTGTTTGCCAACTCTTCACACAAAGTCTGCCATGGGGAGTGGGCCAAATTGCCCACAAGCCTAATCTAGACTTTCTCCCAATGCTCCGTGCTCCATAGGTAAAGAGATATCAGAGATCCCACTCAGAATGTATCTGATACTGCTACTGATACCAGTCACGTGACTCTCGCTCTCAAAAATCAGGCATTCACCAACACAACAGAAAGAAAAAGTGATGTTAGACTTAAATGGAGATAAAGAAAGTGTCCAGAAAGAAATGGCTTACTGGAAAAGACCTCATTGGGGTCAGCAGAATGGACTTGTTCACATGTCCATTTGCTCAACAAGCACCTGATATGCAATAATGCATACCACTGCACGAGGAGAATGTAACAGTGGGAAGTACAGACCCTGCCTTCAAGGAGCTTGCACCCTAGTGGGGCCAACCTTGGATGATCTGGGGGACTGTTAGAAATACAGATGATCAGTCTCAATGTGAGTCATACTGATGTGGACTCAGGGGTGGGGTACAGGAAAATATATTTCTGCTACTATTATTTTTGTTATAACAATTATTATAGTTGTTGCTGTTGTTCTTTTTAATGACCTTTGAAATTCTGATACATTTAGAAAACTCATGTTTGACACCCAGTGTTCTCTCTGGTAAGGAAGCCAGACCTTCATGTGTGGAAGACAGAATGAGGGTAGTGAGGTTAAATACCTGGATTTTGAAATAAGTTGTTATTCAAGTCATGGCTTTGCTACTTTTAATCTGTACAATCCTGTATATTTTTACCATTAAACTTGTTGAGCCTTAGTAAAACAAGAACAAATGTAGTGCCCGTTACATAAGGTTTTCGTGAAAATTAGCAAATTAATGAAGGTAAAGAATATAGATGGGGTGTAACTCAATGGTGAAGTGAGTGCTTAGTATGCACAGCTCTGGGTTCAATCCCAACAAAATCAATCAATCAATAATCAATAACATAACACAGTGTCTGGCATATAGCAACAGCTCAGTGAGTGTTTGCTGTTAAAATATTTTTCTTAGAGAACTTATCTCTACTCAAGACTGTCTTAATCCCACTTTCCCCACCCTGCTAAGATTCTAGGGAAACCTCTCATTAGTCACCTTTTCTCTATCTTGATGCACTATTTCAAAGTCTCCAAGAAACAGGTAAATGTGCAAGACGGTACACATGCTACCAAGAAGATTTATAAAGTTAATCTCACTCATTTATTTAGCTGAATGGATCCTGAGGGAAAAAGACTAAAACAAGAGACTCACAACTGCCAGTATAGTTATGAAATCATCTACAGCAGGGAGGCTTTATGATAATCTTATTTTTCACCACATACTGACAGCCCCTGGTTAGAAGAAAAAATAAATAAATAAAAG